CAATTTATGTGATGACAACTCTCAGTGTTCAGAACATATACTAGTACTGAGAGGTTAAGTGAGCTCCTAATTCAGAGGAGCTGAATACTCCACTAATACTTACTTACTTACTTACTTACTTACTTACTTATTTATTTATTTATTTATTTATTTATTTATTCGGCTTGTATAGTTTCTTCCTCACTTTTATTCTTACAATAATGATGTTAGAAAGATTAATTCTGGAAAACAAGAGGCTGGGGTAGTTAATGTTTACTCTTACTCAGTAAATCTTTCTTTTCTCGTGCTGATTCTACACTCTATACAGGCTAAATCTCCAGACTGGAGAAGATCAGCAAGCACCATATCTATACTATCTTTGGCAGTGATATTTATTTTTTCTACAGACTTTTCTTGCACTTCTAGCTATTTCTAATACTACTATGATATCCTTTTCTAACTTACATGGTAAGTTTTACAGCAACTGAAGTATTCACTTTGGATGGGAAACATGATTTTAAACTCTCAAGTGAGCCATAAAGATTTACTAGGTAGCTTTAGGCAAGTGATTATGTCTCTCCCTAATCTACAATAATGATGGCTGGGCCCCTTGAAAGAAGGGCAGGATAGGAATGTAAGCCCCCTACCCCAGTTCAGATAATCATGAAATACATCACTGATGAAGGTGCATGTGTTTTAAAGTGCTTATAGATAATATATTGCCCTCTCATTTATTTATATTGCAATGGTTGTTTTTATGGTTTTGATAGTGCTAATCAGCCGACCAAAGTACAACTAAAATTTCTTTTGTTCATTTCAACAAAAGAGATTCTTCATCACTGAAGATTATTAGATAACCTGAAATTTCAGAAATATAAAGCAATCATATATATAAACTCAAAATACAGTTATCTAGCATGAAATGTTTATTAGTGTGCGAAGAGACTAGCCTACGTTTTCACTAGCATACCTAATCCATCAATCTAGTCTCTTCACAGAAAAGGGCAACATTTTAATTACATCAATGGAGAATGTTTTTGTTGTGGTGTTTTACTCGTGTAAAGTTATGAAACTTGTACTGTATCTGGCCTTATGGCTGTAGTAAACAATTTGACTTGGTTCTGTTCTTATAATTGCAAGCACAAGGTTCCATAATATCCACAAGTATAAAGCTCTGGAGATTTTTTTTTTAAGTGTTAACTGCTGAAATGAGCCTCAAGAACACACCCAAAAGCATAACTGGTTTGGTACAATTATGTTTGTTTAAAATATGGCTATATCCAGAGTAGAATAATCAGTACCAATTTAAATATTTTAAATATTTATTTTCTTGATCTAGAAGCTCAAAGAATAATCTGCACTGAAGGCATTCTGGACTGTCTGCAGAGATAATTATGGTATTGAGAAGAGAATTAAATCTAATTCCAAACAGTCTCTACATGTCAAATTTAGGTAGTATTGCCTTTGGGGAGCACAGTGCTCACAACTGACCATATCAATGATTTTTTTTGTCTCCAGTTTCTGTCAACAGTTGCTTATAATAGGCAAAGTTAACAATTGACTACAACAGCATTGTTTAAAGCTAACACACAACAGTGTTAACTGCTGATGCTCTTGCTTCGAGAAGTAATCCAGGATAACTCATGTTTGAACAAGCAAGACCTAGTGCCAGGGGGTGCAAAAGAACATTCATAAGGCATACGGGAGATGGCTGGACAGGACTACATCTCCTACCATCATTAATCTCTGGTAACCCAGCTCATCTGAAGACAACTGGATTAGAGGGGGCCGATATAACATTAATTTCATAGATTGGGGAAACCAGACAATTGTTCCTAATATTAATATAATAACATGACAAGAAACCATCATGGTGGTAATAAAGTGTTTTTGTACTGAACGAAGAACTGTAATGAATTGGGTACATTCCTTTAATCCTTAACTATTTCGTTGGCCATATGGGGACAATGAGAAACAACTGAGTAAAATCTTCCTAAACACATCTGCTAGGAACTTCCTTAATGAACTCACTTCAGCATAAATATTGTTAGATTGGGGCAGAAAGTCAGTCCTCTATAAAGTAATTCTATAAAGGTGCTGTGATAGAATCATAAACACAGGGAGACAGGAGTTTTGCTATCCCCCCTACAGAGTATCTTGGCACCCTCCCTCCAAATGTGTTGGGATTGCAGTTCCTGGATACTCTCAGGCAGTGTAGCCAAATGTTGCAGTAGCCATCCATTCTCAAGCACGACACGCTATACATAAAACCAATGACCACCATTAAGGCAACCTAAGCCATTACAACGGAGCTTCTATCCTCTGCAAAGTGCAAAAATAAATAAACAAACCTTCCTCGACCTAAGTCACAACCCCCTTCAAAACAAATTATATAACGAGATGATTGCTAAGTTTTAAGATACAGCAAGGATTAAGTATAAGTGCTACCTGTTGCAAAATTAGCAGCTGGCTTTGTGCATGCTGCTCTTTATTGGAATCTGGCACAAGAGCCTTCAACGACATGCCAATAGATAAGCGCAAACATATGTAAGCCTCCCTTGCGTTAAGGGAACGGGTCGTTCCAACATCTGCTGTCTTCCCACTGTACTCGTTCGCAGCCTTGCTTTGATACAAATACAAGCCGGTAGCATCTTCATCCCATAGATTTGTTTTAGCTGCTTCCATAACACATAATTTTAGGTACTTGTAATTATAATTTGTAACCTTCATTAAACCCTATTTGAATATAGTACCTGATGTTTTTCTGTCCCTAACCAGCATGCCCAAACAATACTATTATTAAAAGGGAAAAAATACTCACACACGGTAAATTGATCTGGAAATAGTTGACTTTTACCTTGATTCCTTTTTCTCACAGTAGAATTACTGCTGTTCGAGAAAGGAAGTGGCAAAGTGAAAGTATGAGAAACACTGCGATTCAAATGGTAATAAAGCCTATAACCTGCTGCTTAACAACTCCTTCTCTATTTTTACTGTTTATTCTGTTCAAACTCTGCTTAGGGTTACACATTTACTCTAGTTGCTGCTGTAAGCCTCACACTGTCCGATTCTGATTTTGGACCAAGGACAAGACCTTGATTTCTCTTAACGTTTGGCCTGATTGTATTTTAATTCACAATGGGGCTGGTTCAGTGAGAAATACTGCATTGGACAGAGCTTTTTTGGATGTACAATATGATCCAAGAGTCACAGTTTTTAAGCTAATATTGCCTCTTGTATTCCCACAGTGTATTTAGAATTAGGGTATTAATCCTCAATTCAGGGTTGTTATTCTGAACTCGTGCTATTTGGAAAAATGTTTTACTTAAAGCAGCCAAACTTGACTGCAAAAAAAAAAAAAAAGTGCTGTAAATTAAGTTTTAATTTGATACACAAAAGCCATCTAATTTAAGATTATGCTGCCCACTGAAAAGACCCAAAAGGGTCTCATTCCCTGTTTTTGGTCCCAGTATCTTATGTAGTTGTCTTTAAACACCAGAGGCTTAATTTAGTATCCTGAGCAATAGTCGTTGACAGATTTTTCCCCGTGAAGTCATCTATTCCCCCTGCTTTTCTTGAAAGCCATGAAACTAGTGATTATCATCCCATTGTGCAGCTGTAAATTCCATTATTACTTTCCTACTACCCCATAAAAGTTAATAGGGCCACAAGAGATTTTTACTGGCCCATGGAATGAATAGTCATTTCTGTCATATCAAAAAAGAGAGCTCATTCTCCTAAAATCTTTATCTGTTCAGCTCTTCTTCATCACCACAGCTGAGTAGGCAATTTCCTTACATGGATAGCACTTCCAGAGTATTAAGAGGGGTTGACTTCCAAACAAGCATATACAAAATAGTAGACTGAATTGCTTATTTCCACGTCATTGATTGACAGGGCCCATAGCAAACAGTCTCTCCTGGAAAATGGGGGAAACCTGGCATTTTGTTGGTAGGTCTTGATACATTTACAAGCAACAGATTGCTCTCTGTGGAAATAGTGGAGGGTAAACAAGTGCAGAGGACCTAACATGATGGATCTATCCAAGGTCTAGGGACTGCATATTGTTTATTATTGTTCATTCCCCTGAACTTACATAAAAACCTACTTTTTAAAAAGCAAAATAGTGTGCATTAATTTTAGCTTATTGCACACCTTGCAAGGATGAAGTCAGGCAGAAAGGATATAAATACTGCAAACATAACAGCAACGGGGTGGGGAAACACACAATTCATGTTTATTCTTCTTACCCAAGGAAGTAGTTTGAAAGTTTTCAGTTGAAGAAAAGGGGATACGGGTAGGGTGCGACTGACTTCCTTTTCTCTATCTAGCTCCATCTAGCTAAAGCCCCCCAAGCAAATCCGAACAAACAGATTTACAACGGAGAAGTCGTCTTAACGGGACCCCTTCCCGGCCCTACACGGGCCTGCAAATCCTGTTGCGGCAGGTTTAAAACACGCGGAACTCCAAAGCACAAGAGTGCCCTTTATGTAACAGGTGAAAAAGATCTCGTGGAAGAAAGGCGGCTTAAGCTGGCCGTTTCTGTCCCCAGCCTCTTGGGTAGGTCCGTACAGAGGGCGGGCAGGTGTCTGGCGCTCTCCCTCTGGGCTCCAGGCTGACTGTCCCTGCCTTTGGGCTGCGAGGGTGGAGGCGGGCGCCGAGGTGACTTCGGGGCCCGGAAAACAGCTGCGAGTCAAAGGCGAGTTTGCCAGAGCCGCTCCCCGTAACTCCTGTCCCGGCTCAAGTCCAGACACCCCCGCAGCGCCCTCGCTCTGCCTGTCTTCTCCTCCACCCCCACGTGCGGGACGAGCAGCCGGTCTCCTCGCGCGCCCTCGGCCAGGGAGCTCGGCCTCCCGCGGCTTCCTCTGCCAGCCTTCACCTGCCCAGCTATGGAAGCGCCCCATTCAGCTTCTCTGCCTCTCTCTCCCCCCATTCCCCGCCCTTCAGCCCGCGCTCCTTCAACCAGTCCGGCTCGGCTTCCCACAGGGGAGATCGCTCCGAGTTCTAAGCCAGGGCCTTACCTGAGCGCGCCTCTTCCAATGGCTGCGCACCTGAAGGGCCGCTCCGCCCAATCAGCTCGCGGCTCGTCCCTCTCGCCTGCTATCCTTTAGTGAAAGAATCCAGCTTCTCTTAGGAAAGTTACCTGTAGGCGCCTTCAGCTTTTGTTGCCTGGCTGCTCGGTGCCCTAAACCGCGGGGGGAGGGAGTGCAAAAGAGAAAGGCCAGCCAGTCTTCTTTCCACATGCGAGGGGCGGGGAGAAGGGGGCTTTACCTGTCCCACTCCTGCCTCTGCGGCTGGCTGAGGAAGAAGTAGAGGGGGGAAGAAAAGCAGAATTACCAGTAGCTCTGGTTCTGCCGTCCCGGGAGCTCGCTCGCTCTCACACGCGAGCGCACACACACACACACACACCTTTACCTGCACAGACTTGAAAGTCCAGTTTCACCAGAGAGACTGAGGCATCTGGAAAAGGGGAGAGAGTTCATTGGATCAAACATGTCACAAGAGACGGACAAGTAAGTGATCACAGCCAGCTTGCTACTTTTGCTGCTCCTGAACGGATCAACTGGTTGGTTGTGTTTTCTTTCCCTTAAAATAAAAAACAAAACAAAACACGATCTCGGTGGTGGACGCACTGCGATTACATTTCCTCCTTTATGCAAGGAATACAGGGGTTAAATAGAACCCACAGGAGAGCTATTGAATCCCACTAACTTTCCCAATCTCTTTTCCACTCCCCCCCTTTTTAAAAAAAATAATAATTGGTTCTGGACTCTCTGTGTACCTTTCCCAAACTTTGGGGAGATCTTTACTTCTGCGCTGTAGAACTGGAGGACCAGTGCCTTCCTGTCCTTCAGGGCCTAGATTTGAAACGCGATTCTTGGCTTTTGTGTGTGAATGCAACAAAAGAGCTTTTATATTGGATCAGAAACGGCCATCTTCTTCCCGTTTTCTTGGCACTTCTGTATGTGTACTTTGGGACAGAAAGATGTAGAAGATGGAGCCCAGGAATTCTTTATTTCAAGCCATGGGGGGTGAGGTGGCGGGGGGGCGGGGGTCGACGGGGGGAG